CTGCTTCTCAAGCGTCAGCGACACTCCTTTCTTCCTCCGCTCGTCCGTCGTCAAATCGAAATATGACTGTTGCCCCGACCCCTCACAAGCATCGCAGATCTCCCTCACCTTCTTCACAAGCTCGGCCCACTTCTTTCTGCAATCCTCCCCTGTCCTGGAGTACCCCTCCTCCCTCATCCGGTCCGCGGTCCACTGCCATCTTCTACATCTCGTCATGTGTCTTTGAGGACCTTCCGCGTCAGCCATCAACGCGTCATCCTTTGCCGCCACCGTCGCCAGCTTCACTCGCTCCTCCAATGTCCAAGGACTATTCTTTTTCGGCGGGGCCGATGGCGTCGGCGCCTTTCGGCATTGTCCGCTGGAATGAGGCATGACATTCGTCGGTGCTCTTTCTTGAGAAGGCATCCCCGTTGTGCCGGCCGTCGATCCTGATGCGCCGGATGCGGCATCTTTACCACCGCCACCCCCTTCCTCTGACCCATTCCCTCCGAACTCCCATTGACCGCCCGTATCATGCATATATCCCTCCCCAACTGCGTCAGTTCGCTCCACCCCGGACGCACGACTCCCCCTCATCGGCGGGGGTGTTGTGACATGTGTGTTCCTGGATTCCCCCCCAGACAAGTGCCCGTCACCTCCCGCTCTCTGCAGCGACCCTTGAGGGTGGAATGTCGGCTGCCCGGTGAACCCTGCAGGCCGCAGGCAGGGTTGGTGGCCGCCTTGAGGTAGACGTCGTTGCGGTGATTGCAGACCAAGATTGGGAGATGGGACCCCCTCAACTGTATTGTCTCTTGTCGAGCCGAAGCGAGTGGAAATCGACAAGAACGCGGGCATAGCCGGAGAGCGCTGGTTGCACCCGGGAGCCTCACGCGTGTACTCCGAAGAACCCCAATTGCCTGCACCCGTGGCACTTGACCCCCCCTGCCCACCGACCGATATGTTGTATGTCCGCTGCCTTGAGCTCGTTGCTGCGCTTGGAGGCATTGCAGGTCGGCCAAAGGCGCTCGTCGCAGATGCGTGCGTGGAGACGGCCACATTGTGAGATGAATGGGTCAGCTGCATTTCACCAGGCATGATATTGCATCCCGTTTGCGGCGAGTACGACCACGATGGGGGCGGGTGTCCTCCATCGGAGCGCGCCTGTGTGCACTCGGACACCTCGCCCCCCGCTTCGTAATAGCCTGACGACCCGCCAACGTCACCATACAATTCGGCGGTGAATCCCCGGCCGGCCATCACTGCCTCAACAACACCCAACAAGCACGATCTCAACTTTGCGATTGGAACCTAACGACACCGGGATGCTACAACAATGGCAACGAATACACACACACAAATGGCAAAAACAGCCAACAAAGTAGCGAAGACTGCTAGAGCAATGGCCACCCCCCACACAACGACCACCGAAAACCACAACAGCCGCTTCACCTCGTCCCCGATAACTATCACAACAGTCGGGCGGTCACTTCACCGCCTCACCGGACGCTCCCCAGTTGGGGGGGGGATGACGAAGGGGTACTGCAGGAAAAATGCTGGCACCGGAGCAGCAGCGATGGAAGATCCCCCCTCCTGGACAGGGGCATGCACTCGTTGCCGGTCTTGCATTTGGTTGTCACGGACTGTCACGCATCCAGCACAACGTGGTACAGGACACGTGATGTCGGCAGCATGGGGTGTGAAGCTGTTACCTCCTCCACGGATGAAAGCAGGGCGGACGGCACGGATAACTCCACTGAAGTCGGCCGGGACAGGGGCAGGGGTGCGCAGGAAAGACGTGGAATTGCGATGCGTGTACGTGTGTGCAGGCGTCGTCTCCTCACATCCACCACGGTAGACAACCGACCGCCGATTGGAGCGCCTCCCGACATGCGTGTGGTGTGACACAACGGTTTGTGCACGTCGGCATGCCGACGCCCACGCCGTGGGACGAAGATGGAGGGCCCTGACGACGTGCATGGGGTGCGGAACCCTACACGACAGCGCCTGGGAAGGGGATGCACGTGCGCACGCACGATGGTGGCAATGGGACGAACGACCGCAAGATGTACTCTGTACGTCGGCCAGCTGTTCAACACAAGGCCGGGCAACTTCACGGCCCTCCTCATCAATGCCCGCCCACGCGAATCCGCAAAATTTGAATTCAAATTTGAAATTCGAAAAGGAGGGACCCGCCCCTTCCATTTTGGCCCCATTGGCACCGAAAGGCAGGGGCCCTACTCCGACCGTGTGACACTTCCCTCGACAACTGCCCGGCCGCAGCAATGTCTGTGGGGGGCACGCATGGACATTACGCGGTCCAAAAACCGGACCAGACCTTGGAAAAGTGCAAGACAGCCCCCGAGGCCAGTCTCAGCTTTCGGCACATTTTTTCGGTGAACTTTCCTCCGAACGGTCCTGGAGTGGAAACGTCCAACTACAACCTTCCACGCCAAAAAACGCAGCTTGTGGGGTCCCGAAAAACGGTCCTTGGAAAAAATTCGCCGCTTTCCAATGCATTATGTGCAAGCTGTGGGGTCCCGGAAGCACTTCCGCGGCAAAGTTTTTCCTTTCCGCATTCCTGTGGGGTCCCAGCCTCAATCTAGATGCAGATTCAAATTCGCCCTGTTAGAAACCCCAATCTAGCATTTTTCGAGCGTGCTATTCCTTTTTTCCCCTCACCTTCTTCTTCTTCCTCGTCGTTCGCGTCGCCTTCCTCTTCTTTATCTCCCCGGTAGCGCCTGCGTTCCCAACTAGCACTGCCCGTCACTGCCCAGTACGACAGGATGGGGAAGTGGTCTTGACAACTCCAACTATCCTGAGGGAAACTTCGGAGGGAATCAGTTGCATGCATAGTAAACTCCTCGGTCCGCGTCTCAAGATGGGTAGGATAGAGGAGTTTTATCAGCGTCCCAACATGCAGGAAACCGACCGGGCCCTCCAAAAGAGGCTCGTGCTTGAAGTTCTCAATTGCCGTGACAGCCACCCTACGTCGGTAACAATTGTTCTCATTGTTCCCCACTGCAATGCCGGTAACAACCCATGTTTGCAGGCACCCCACGTGGAACAAGAATGGGGGCTACGCAATCGTCGATGACCACGTCCAGGTAGGGATACACGACTTCGAGGAGCTCAACAATTTCAAACATTGTTTAATTCTCTTTTCAAAGTGTTTTTTTTTTTTTTTTTTTTTACCCGAGGGCCGCGAGCTCTCCGGTAGCGCTAATTCTGCGCTAATTTGCGCCGCAGTAGCGTGCAACGTCTAGCGATTAGGGTTAGCACGAAGATTAGCACTACCTGAGAGCTCTAGGCTGGGGGAGCGCGGCGGTTGACGCGATTGTCGCGTTCTAAGTTGGCGTAGACAGCGGTAACAGTTGTACTGGCCTACCGAGCTACCACCATCGCGATGGTACCTCGGTAACCCCAGGACATCTCGCTCGGTGAAAACCACGCAACCTCGAAAGAGGGAGATTGTGGCGGGTAGGTCAGCCCCAGGTCAGGACACAACATATCTGCGAGTGGTGCGTGATAATATGTGAGCTACGAGAAGCTGCGGTGGGCGTACGCCTTTCAGATGTAGGATCGACGATTACAGAACAACAAGGCGTTGATCCGAAGAAGGGGTCAAAGAATACCGTACGCGCTACGGGAGCACAAGACAAGAATATGGCGAGTCAAAATGACACCGAAGGAAGAAACAGAAGAGGGGAGGACAGATCGCCCCCGCCTCAAGGAGAGATTCCAATTTCAGAAGAAGACCGTGTGAAGTTTCTGATCGTGAAATGTTATGAAGAAGGAATCTTCCCCGAAAGATTGAGACGGGGGAAATTTATTGTCGAGAATGGAGTAAGAATTTTCGTGGTCGACAAGCAGGTGGGAGAATTGACCACAAAATGGTTGAAAGAAAGAACTGTCACGATTATTTTTCGAGGGGAGGCGAGGTCGCTCCCGGTAAAAGTGAGGGAGGATTTAGTACGGGAATATGAGAACGGCTGGGTGAAGACCCGAACTTTCAGTAGAACACCGAAAAGGGGCAGGACGCATTCGGAGGGACCGGACGTGATGTCGTACGTAGCCATGTCAAGGGAGGTGGCACAGTGGATGGTAAACAAGGGGGAAGACAAGGTGGTGATCGGAGGAGTGGAGTATAAAATGTTATTTAAGTCGTGGATGACCCACGTGGAACTTGAAGAACGGAGGCGACTGGAAGACGCGTCAAAATTATGGGTAATGGCTCTGCGGGTTCCACTACGAGCGATGTTCCCTGTCGTAGATATGGTCGAGCAAAGCATGGGGAGAATCATCAATACGATTCCCCCACAACCAAACGCAACAAGGCCAAAATTAATGAATATGAAATTCGAACTTGTTTCGGAAGCAAAAGGAACCTTTGAACCAATGTTTCCGGTATGTCTGGACGACGGAGAGAACGTCAACATCGAGTTCGTGTGCAAGCATACACCGTATTGCGACTGCTGCCGTTGGTGGAACCACATAGCCACAGATGGTTGTCCAAAACTTTGACAACAATTCAACGACCAAGGCGAAGATCCTGCAATTGCAGACAATTTCTCCGACAGGAATTTTCAAGGCAGATGACAAGTTAGATCAGAGTTGAACTCAAGCATGACAGGCGGCATCAGAGAAGCGGCAAGGGACCTGCCCGAAGAAATCCCACGTCACACGATGGCGGAATCTTCACTGGGACCGGCGGCAAGGGTTCAATTCCAACAGCAACGGCAAGGCAATGCTGGCAGCGCAGGAAGCTCCGGTCAGCCACAAAGAGAGGGAGCAAGCGGAGTTAATCAACCATGGGGACCGCCTTTGGGTTAACCCTTGCAAGATTACACCGATGCCCATCAGTTCAGAATCAACAACCGGATTCCTGGAGAGCAAGAACTGTCCGGATACCGAAGTGTGGAAGGAACTCAGGCTTGGCAACCAACGGTTATGGAGGTAGCGAAGATATTAGCAGAGGAGATGCGAAGGCAGAGCTTGGCAACACAGGGCGTTGACGTGGGCCAACGGAGGGAAGAAGGCGGGTCTAGGGAACTGATGGTTGTACTAGAGCAAGGTTTGGGATAGGGAAAAACAGGCACCGGAATCGGGGATCAGAGAAGCCGACGTCTCAGGGGGGATGGTATTCGCAGAACGGAAGGTTAAACTGGAAGACCAGGCAGGATGGAGGAAGAAGGGGAGCGCCAAACAGTCATGGAAGACATAGAGGAGGAAGAGGAGGAGAGGAATGAAGACTCGCCGAGAGACATCCAGGTTGGAGCGTCAGCAAGAACGAGAGATGACCAGGAGATGAAGGATAGTTTCATTCTCCCGTTTGTTTGTACTTTACAAGGGCAGGAGGTGTATGTGTTATGCGTACGCATTGAAGAGGGGAGGTATGCAATGCCCGCTAGCAATATCATCGAAATTCCAACCCCGCAATTTGTGATCATGAAGGTCAGGCAACTGTATTGTGAACGTTTTGTATTCCGCTTATTTCCAGAGGACACGGTGACATGGCTCTTGGCAGACTTACCAGGAGGGGGCAAAGTGAGGTACTTGATACCATTAGTGGACGCACGCATACCACCAGAGTTGTGGACGAACATCAGATCCGTGAACCTGGCGAGCATTCCACTGAGACTCTTCCTATCCGATCCATTCAAAGAATTGGAGGGAATTTCAATCGAACCAGGTATGACAGCAACACTCCTGCAGAGGCTAAACAACGAACCGCCTAAGAGGAGGAATCTATCTTCAACCTACTTTGAAGAAGTCCTAAGCGAGAGATGGTCGGAGTCACTGCCGGCACCAGGGCTAATCCAATATAGAGCCCACCAGTTGGTACTCCATGGGGAGAATTAAAATTGCCACGTGGAACGTCTAGGGCTTGGGTGATGCAACTGGCAGGCACAAAGGACGCAGATTGAACCTGGGCGCACGAGAAAGGAATCGACATCCTTCCGATTCAAGAAACAAAGCTTTCTGAAGAGAAACTCCTACAACTAAAAGACAGGTGGACAGGCTCACAACTTTGCTTCCCCCTAGGCGGGAGTTGTTTCTATGTCGTAGAATGAAATCTGCGTTGTGCAGATGCATAGACCCCTTCCCGATTACTGGTGAGATTGTCAGTGTTTTCCTATTACTAGGTCCCTTTCGGGTTAGGCAGGTACTATGGGTCCTCTGACTTCCAATAGGTCCCCGGCTAGAGGCAGTAAAGGGGGTGTGGCAATTTTGCTGCACAACAGATTGGGAACATAAGTTGTGGATTGTGACAACGACCACGATAGGGCAGGAGGACTGGGTGATTGCTATAGTTTATGCACCAAATGACCCACTAGACAGGATAGAGTTTGCGGAGCTCCTGTCTAAGAAGATTCCTAATTCAGACCACCTGATAATTGCAGGTGACTGGAACATGGTATGCTCCCCAGGAGTCGACTCAGAGAAAGAAAAAAGTAT